ATCTGTTCCATACAGACATAAACAATATGGTGGGGCCTTTTCTTGTAAGGGCTGCATCATAATGACATATACCAATCTTGAAACCTTTTCATTGTCAAAATAACTTTTTATAGTAGGCGCATCTACGGCTGGAAAATTTTTAATAACAGGAAATCCATTTTCTGCCAAAGGAGAAACAAATCCAACCACTTGGTTGGTGGTAGGTTCAAACTGAATTCTTCCTGTAACTCCAGTAGCATCTTCACTCATCCACAACTCTCGAGGCAGCTTATATTTTGTCAAGTATTCGCTTAGTTTTTGTAACCTTACTTCACCCTCTAAGACAAAATGATCACTGTCTCGAATTGACCTTAAGACAGTTGGTACAGATGGAAGAGGCAAATTGGCTGATAACGTTTGATACGCAGACCGTCCAGCAATTATAAACAAATATGTGGAAAAAAGTTTTAGAGAATTTTCATATCGGTTACTTTTGCAATGAGACTGTCTATCTGCAGATTTTTTCAATAGTTTCAAAAATGTTGACGTTGAACTGGACTCTTTTTCTTGGTTGTGAGCTCTACTTTTATTTTTCATAAACGACGTAACAGTTTCACGCAAATTGTAATTTTCCTTTAAAAGTATACCCATTTTATTTTCGATTTTATGTACAATTATCCCAAAGGAATCTAATGTTTGACAGTTTTGAGCAGCTTTTTCTAACACTTGCGCTCTTCTTTCTCTACGAGAATACTTTGGATGTTTCCATTTTTGCGTGATGCCATTGTTAAAAGGAACATGTAGGATTGGATATTTATTACACTGAACAATCCTACTTAGTTTAGTGCAATTTGCCCTTCCCCCGATTGCTGAGGAATACAGTCGTCACTGTTTTTGCGAGCATACTTTTTCAAAGGTTTATCATCGTCATCAGTCTCGTTTAAATTTGTAACTTCCATTATTACATTATTATTATTATTCTTATGCAGGTTATTGGCTAAGCTATTACAAGTAGTTTCGTTGTCTTTAACACTATTCGGATCTTCATTGACCGAAGACAATGTTTTGGACGTGGATGAACACGATGAAGGAGATATTAATGATGTTTCACAAGACGACATAAATGAGTTGTTATCTATTTTGAAAGGTGAAGCTTGTTCAAAGGTTTCTTCTTCTGGAACACGGGTAATAGTACATGGCTTATTTGTAGATTTAACAACGATATGTTGCAAAATTGAAATCTGCTTCTTTTCTTCTTTTTTATTTTCTATCAGCTTGTTTTTATCCCCACTTTTATTACTGTTATTCATCTCAATATGATGTAGTTTTACATGCCGCACAAAATTAGAAATAATCCAACGCCTTCCATTTTTCAACAGTGAGCTTGCTATCGTGACAAAACTTCCATTTTTACTTCGATTTTTGCACATACCGCATTTTATTTTTGCATTTTTTCCCTCAAGTATAATATCCAAAGAAGTTAATGAAATAAGTTCTTGTATTTTCTGCATGGTGTTATTCTTATCGCTCTTCAATGTGTTTGTGACCCAAGTATGAATTTGTTTTAGAATTCTTCCTTTTTCATCAGTTGTCTCCGCAATTGTTTTTTCAGACAAAATTTGACTTGTAGTGGATACCTTCCTTGGTGCTTTCTCAGTCTTGTCATTAGGGATACGTCTGGAAAAGTCTTCTTTAGGGTTGCATAGCAGGTAGTTCTTCATTGAAAAAATTATTTTCACATGGCCTGGAAGTCTTTTTAACTTGTCCTTACTATGCTGATATATGCCGTAAAAGTCAGACATACAAGAATTTTCTCCAATAATGGACTGCATGTCTGACCGTGCAAACTTTTCCATATCGTGAATATCTGACATTTCAATTTGGGTTATAGCAATTGAATTATCAAATCCACAAAGACTCATGATGTTAATTAACTATGTTGGAAACTCACATTTTAAACAGTTTTGCATTTTTGCCCAAAATGCATTTTTTGAGTCATTTTTGTCAACGGTTGCATGAGTTGGAGAGTTTAAATTTTCACTACTAACTAAGTTTACCTGAAAAAAAAAAATACCAAGAATAATACTTTAGATAATAAAAGCCGGAAGATGTTTCATTTAATTTTTAATAGTACATATATTACTCAGCCAGTGAGCGATTTAGAATTTTAATCACAGGTGGATCCAATTAACTCACGAGCTGTAGGCGAGTGAGGTAAGGTCCACGAGTGAGTAACATTCAATTGCCTCACGCGTGAAGTAAGTATACCATTTTTTCCAATTTTAAAAGTTAAAATAAAAAAACAACAAATTTTAAAAGTAAAATAAAAAACAACAATTTTTAAAAGTTTCGTTCATATCAAAGATCGTCGAATGCACATAGTTGCCGGAGATAAATTTAATATCCATAGTGACGGGCACAAATAAATCAACAATTTTTCTCGAATGGTCTGATTCCGTTTACGTGGTGTTTTTGAGTTGAAAGTATAGAAGAACTGGTAGACAAAATGGATACAACGCCTCCAGATGTTGAAGAAGAAGCCCAGACTGCAGCTGGAAAGTTGCTGACTACAAAATTTGAAGAAAGATATCGTAAAGAATACGATACTTTTGACCAATGATCAAAGTTTTTACCTCACTTATGATTAAAATTTTTTGATCACAGTATGAACGAAGACCAACTTTCATGGTTACTAAACAATGATTAAATACATAATTTTAACGATTAAAATTGGAAAAAATTATTATTTACGTGCATGAACATAAAAACAAAAAATATAAACTTACATTTCGACTTAAATCAAGATTCGGAACGTCATTCATTTTGTCTTTTCAGTTAAGGCATAAACGACAAAAAATCTCTGGAAATTAGGCTGGGAATAGCAGTGGTTGCTCCAATGACTGCACACTGCACCATGAATTGGCGCGAAGAGACTTCATTGGTTTAGTCAAGGTTAACAAAACCGTGCAGATTTCAAATAGAATTCAATTAAATTCACAAGAATTCAAAAAGAGTTCACACGAATTCACAGAGAGTTCACGCGAATTCACAGAGAATTCACGCGAATTCACATGAATTCAAGAATTTAGACGGAATTCATAAAAAAATCAGGAAGTTCAAATGAGTTCCTATGATTTCAGAAATTTGCAAAGATTTCTGATGGAATTCACCTCAAGTGTACACCAGAATTCACGAGTGATTAACCCCTCGGGGGAGACCTATTTCTTCGTCTTCTAGAGGTCATGACAGATCGAGAAAATGTAAAAGTAGAGAGTCGGCTGATGGACTCGATAACAAAAAGTAAGCTGTTATTGTCGTTAAATTAAATATTGCCTGGTTAAGATAACAAATATTCTGGGTGGAATATTTTTGCAGATGTCGAAGATACAACCCTCTGATTTCGTTTTAAAATCTATATAAACTCCTAGAAATTTTGTACGTCGCTTCACATAAAAAATAAATAAAAAAATCTCCTTTACCCTTGGTTTGAATTTAAAAATTTATTATAAATAAAACAATTCTTAGCGTCTGTGTTAATTTCATTTAAATGTTGTTGTGTAACACGTTGAAAATCAGAGGCATCCATCAAGTTATGTAAGATATAATAGAAATGAAGCAGATCAACGATATAAGCCAGAAGTCATGTCAGACCTAGTGCCGAACCCTGTAGCACACCAAGCAAGGTAGTTATTTCGTGTCACGTTTATTACAAGAAACCTACTGAAAACGTTCAAATAAGTACGAGGTTGAGAATTCGGCAGCATTACTGTCAGAGCCATAGCAACGACGTGTATGGATTAAACCATCACGTGGGCCGTAATCAAATCCTTTGAATAAGTCGGGATAAGATGCTAAAATATGGTGTTTAATTTCAAAAGCGTTTACCAAATTTGAAGTATTATTCCGGAAACGTTAATGATTTAACGGAAATAAGTGGTTAACTTTAATTTGGAACTAAACTGGTTATATTGTCTTTTAGTATTTTCTTCTTTACATATTAGTATAATTCTAGAGACCTTCATTAGAACGGGTATTCTTCTAACGTAGGTATGTATTAACGTCAATGTCTAAACTACTTTTTACTGGAATTTTGCACGTAATAACTTCAATACTTTCGACGTGGCCCTAACTTTATTATTTGAAAAATTAATATAAACATCGTTAGCTTTGGTATAACTACGAAGCTTTTATAAGATTTTTAGTTTTCTAACATATTTTTTAATTAAGCATTAAATCCTCGATTGTTGTTTAACTGCACCCATAACCATATTCAAATGTTAAATAATAGTATAAAACAGATATCAATACATATAAGATTCAATATTTCCTACGACATTTATTAATTTTACTGCAGTTTAAAACCGAGACAAAACATAAATCTCTCTAACTGTTGAGTTTATGCAAAGAAACCTCACATCTGCCCCCAAGAGAAAATAATAACGATTTCAAAGTCTAACTTGGAAGTTCAACCTGTTCCTTCCAAGGTCGACTTTTCGCTCGTTTCGTCTCTGTCTGCACAGATAGTCAAAACACATTTATTTAAGGCGCAAATTGAAAAAAATAAAAATAAAAACAAGTACTAATAATTTCCGCTGGATGGAACAGTGCACACGACATTAACCAAATGCAGTGTGTATTTCAGACAAGAAAATATATTCTACAGACATTTATACCTCCCTCATAAATTCCATTCTTGTTTTCATAAAGTTTAACTCAGACACCGAATATATCAAATGTTTTTCTTAAAATACAACATCAACAATTTTTATTCGTCTCTACACCGGTCAAAACTTGACTCTGGCAAAACAAAATCTTAACCCGTTATCAAATATTTGTTCATAACCCGAGTGTAATCTCCACGTGTGCCTCTCGTGCAGACATCGAAATTTTCCAGGTATTTTGTAACAATTCGAGTGCATAATCCAATTAACATTTGACAGAGCGGCTCATTATCCCGGCGAAACTCTCCAATAAAGACCCACTAGAATTAATTACGAACACCTATTTAATTAAATACTTACGTGTATCATCGTATTTAATGCTCATAAGTTCGGCAAAGCACTTAACATAGGTTGTTTCGTTGATGGGCGTAGGGGGCCAACAGAGCAACCCATCTGTGGTCACCGGACAGAAACCATCAGGGTTGATTTCAGCCAAAGCCGCAGTCTTATTCGCGTAGACAGTCTTACAGTGGGTTTCCGTTATGTTAAGTGTTAACTTAATGTCTTCTGTGTCATTCCACTCGTTCTCTCCTTCCACCGATAAACTGACGGTCTGGTCCAAAGGACCTGGTTCCTGGGCGAGCTGCGAGTCCGACAAGCTCATTTTTAACACATTTTGGCACTTGTGGACACTTCAGTCTGAAACACAACACGATTTGCTTAAGCAAACGTAGCAATTGTTTCACAGTGTGTTTTGCTCTTATCAGTTTGTTTAATCTTGATTGTGATATATTATATTATTGTTCTGGTTAAATATGGAGGATGCACTAGCGCGCAATTTGCCTCAGTGGTGGCGCCGAAGAGTTTCTAGGCGATTAATTTTGAAAACCGGATTTTCAAATGTAATTTCTTTTTTATGGTTTTCCGAAGGAAATTATTATTTATCTATTCTGTTTAAAATTCGACTTATACAAACCCAGTATTTTATTACTTGAGCAATGAAAGATGGGTCACTCGATCAAACATTTCGATCGAAAACTTAAACAAATTTCTGAAGAATAAAAAAATTATTATTTATGCTGTTCTACTACCGTAAACAGTTTCATTTTTGTAAGAGATTTTCTGTTTGTTGTTGTTTAAAGTAGGTTATGCGATTTTACGTCACGTCAACGTCACGTCGTGTTGACAAATTCACATTACACATACTTGTTTAATTACTGTTTTCCGGATCTTGCTTTTCAGTTTGTGTGGATATATTTTGCAAGTTCTATATTTTGTTATATTTTGATACCCATATTTTTTTTATTTAGTGTGTCATAAACAAACGGAAAAAAAACAAAAACAATGTGCAACAGTGATAACTTTTGAAATAATTTTATTTTGAGGATAACGACGTTGCGGTTTCAAAAAGAAAAATAACCAAGAAAAATTGTTACACATTTATTAGAGGATTAGACTCTAGAACAGTTTCGTCCTGCCAGTAGCAAAATCCTGCGGACATGATGTTTTACGCCTACCACCGTATTTATTGCGTTCTAAGCTCTATTCAGCTCCTCTAGGGTTACTAAAACGCATTATAAGAAAACAATAACACCCTACCTAATTTAAATGAAGGCGTTGTGGTTCATTAAACGAGAAGTTAATATTACAGGGACTAATTTATGAAAAAGGTGAATCGACCACATAATAGAGTAGGAAATTCATAACTGGTCTGTAATTTCCAGAAGTTTATATATACACTATGAAAATGTCATCGAGGTTCAAATTAATCTTGAAAATAATTATCCTTATTATAGTAGTGTTTGTTTTAAAAGGCATGTTTATTTACGCTACATTATTGTGGATATGTATAAAAATATTTTTTTAAAACTGTAATAAAATTAATTGTTGGTACACAGGGGTTTTTACACGTGAATGTAAATAATCTGAAACATTTTCTCCTTTAATTATTTTTGCAGCAAACTTGTAAAAGAAAAAGTTGTGGAAAATTAAAAGGCGCTTTCACAACCGCCCTTAGTCTCCTTTTATCTTTATTCAGTTCTTAAAAGTGGAAGAATAAAACGTTGAAAATTTACACTTCAGTTACCAAGAAGTCACTTCAAATGACATTTAATTCAGTCCTCCTTTAATTTAACGGAATTTATTTTGTCTTTATTTGAAGAAATAGTACGCTTAGAGGATGTTATACAATAGAAAAAGAACGATCTAAGAAAATAATACTGCAGCAAAATTTTTCATTATTTATTTCCGAATGGCACAGAAACATTCCATGAATATAATATTCTGTTGTAACTTCTTGGAGAATTTTAGGAAAAACTGTTACGTTATTGATACTAAAAATAATTTTCATATTTTTACTTACAATTTTACTATCTGCTTTCCAAATTTTTGAGAATCGTGCGTAAGAAAGCTTAAATGTATAGACGAAATAATGAAAAACCTGAAACGAAAAAAATTACCCAAACATCGAAAGCACTGAAATATGAAAACCCCCATTTCAAGGCAAAACCAACTACGTGAAGAGCAGAATTTTTACGTTTCTGTGTCTCTTTTGATGTACATTTTATTACAGAACATAAAGTGGGCTATTTGTTTTACGTCACATCATCGTCGCATCGTGTTGACAGTACACGTCATATACGTGTTTCTGTTTTCTCGACATCTCCGTGTGGGGGCTCTCAAGATTGCGTTCATTCATTCCACCTATTTTCGGGATTGTTTGCTTGTTAAAATTAACACTGACAGTCGTTCCTGACCACAACCCTCCTACTCACAATTTAAAATAAACTACAACAATTATTTCTAAACCAAAATAAAACTCCAATGAAAGACGTTTTATTATTTTATTTTTATCACACGACGATAACTCACAATATCTAACTCTACTGTGGTTTGTAAATAATAAAAATCCTGTGTTAGCTTCAAGTACACGTTGAAACAGTTTTACTGACACCAGACGTAAAATAAAAGAGATGTTAACTTTTATAACAACTTGTTGGATTGAAGACAAACTATTCAAAAGATGTTTTTCCAGTGTGACAACGCTCGAATTTTCGTCAATTCTAATTTTGATGAGCAATTAATTCGCACTTTGCGAAATTAGAGGATTTTGGTGCGAATCTCAGGGATGTGTAATATCCGAGTAATAATTACCTCGGAAATTTCGTTAGAGTAATTAGGCTTTTCACATTAGCTGGCATTAAACAGACAAGTTTTTGGTGGCGGGAGAAACACGTTGACATTTAAGTAAAACGGTAGAGTAAAATTTGTAATATTTATATTAATTATAAATGGTACGAATGTGAACACTTGCCAAAATTTAAATGCAGGAAATATATTTTACCAGACCTTCCATAATTCAATTTTAATTTATTTCAGTAATATTCCTAGATGACATCATTGACTTTTTGCGGTGGATAAATATATACAAATTTTATAATATGCAATTAAACACAACATTTCTTCCACCACTAATACGCTACTCCATTGTCTCAATTTACTCGTTACTGTGTTCAACGAGTTTCCCCCATTAAAAAAGCTCGGATTACGCTCCTGTCTACGAGTATAACACTTGCCTCATTCTAATCACCAGATAGCTTCCAATCGGTTTGCGCCATTTCGATTAATACTACCAGTTTAATTAAAACACTAACTTCTAAAATGCGAAAGTTTGACACTTTAATGGACGTCAAAGAAATTAAATTGAGCTGTCTATTAGATCAGTTTTCAATTCGTTCTCATTCGCAATAGTGAGACAGACGTTTTATTCATCGGTAATTATGACAAATGCCACTTTTACGAGTGAAATTAAAGCTTTCAGCTTTATTTGCGAGATACAGTTCATTCCAATTATAGCTGGTTTGTTAATTCTCAAGTGGTAATTCGATCCTGTGGCTAAAACTTTAGCTTCTAAAGAATGTTTATGCTAGGTGCGTGCCTAATTAATTAAATTTTTACCGCCACTTCGTTTTATGACTTGTTTATTAGTGTGTTAACAAAGTGAGTTCACATTCTTGCGGAGATTATTTTAGCCAGGTTACGTAGTGTCGTAGAGGTTAATCGGAAAACCAGGGAGCATCCTGTTTATATTTATTACTACTTTCGTAATTAACCCTTAATGCAGTAAAGTTTGCAATGTGACTGTGACATATGTGTGTACGTTCGAACAACATGGTGCCCCTGCTCACTTTATTTCACTAACGTTAAATTTTATAAAGTGGAAGAATTTATATTTATAAATTAATTACAAACAAAACACAAATGAGACTTTAATAAAAAATAAATTATAAATTATCATAAATTTTTATTATTGTAACTGACCCAAGAAAATACTAAAATTTATTAGTATTTTTGTTGTGGTGGCAGGCTGAATCATTCTTAATTCTTATCAGACCGCCCACCCTAAATTTGTATTTTACTTTTTCGCGCGGCTTCTCTACTCTCTTATTTGTTGTTTCATGGCTTTTTGTTCCGCAACCCACCTAATATATTTTCTTAATTTTATTTGACATCATAGAGCATTCTCTAATATTTCTTTGAGGTTTTCAACGAATCCTCGTGGGCGGGCAGTATTACAACATCCATTTTTAGCTAAGTTGAAATTAATTGTTCGAAGACAAAAAGTTGTTCAAAGAACTTAGCCACGTTTTACTGTCAATTTTACGAATATCGGATGCGATAATCCCTCTCTAATAAAATTTTATAGAAACCTAGAAGCGAAATTTACATAAAACGCTCATCTTTCCTTGAAATAAATGGACGATTTTATTATTGTGCTTGTACAACGTAAACCCATTTAGAATTTTAATAATGTTTGGTCGAAACCTAAGCCCCAATATGTTCGTTTTGCAAAGGTATCTGATGTTGAAACCCTCTAGATTATCGAATTTGTTATACGTTCGAGTGATTAACTTCAGCGTTCATATTATATTTTATTAAGGTGTTGGGTTATCTCTGCCAGTAAACCCAAGTTGCCTCCCTTTGGTAACTGAGCCGCCTTTTCAACGTCTATCTTACCCTATTTTGCGATTGGTTAATTAAAGATCGGTTTACGGGACGTGGGTTCGGTCTAATTTAGATGTCATTTAGCCTAGTAAATCTGTAATAAATTTAACGAGGAAGTTATTAAGTAATGCTTCAGAGAGGAAGAAGTGGCAGATTGGCGAGGAATTACTTTAAAACTGTGCGGGAATTATGATGGGAAATTTTACAGGTGAGTGGAGAGATGTACAGGAAAATAAAATTGAGTTTTAAAGTGGTGTTATTTTTATTAAAAATTGGTTCAGCTGATTGATTAATTTGCTCGAATTTAAATATCCAATTCAGATTTTTCATCGACCAATTTAGAACCCAATATGCGGGTTAAAAAACAAAGCTATGGATTTATTTTGTTATTTTTTTAATGTTTTGATGTTTTGGGTGTCTTCTTGAAAATTCGTGGCAGTTATACCAACGTTTTTGAATGTGGTTTAAACAAAACAGTACTAGTAATAGCAGTATAGTAATTTTAAAAATGTTAAAACTAGTACTAAAAAATTGAACTGTACCTATATATAGGGTTTTCAAATGAAAAAGTCATCAAAGTGGCCTTGATTTTGTATAAACATTGTGAAGTATGTCTACAATAAACCTAAAATTTAATCGATGACAGCTGCGAATTGATACAACCTAACCTCACTTTTTCGTATAATAAAATTAAT